TGTCTTTCTTGCACTGGGGCACCAGAGCTGCCAAAGAGAGCAGGGACACACCACGTCTCACAGGGCACTGCTGGCACGAGGTTGAACATGGGTTTGCTGCAGCAGATCTCAGCTCTCTCTAAGCACCTACCGGTGCCTGATCATTTGCTCTGTGCTGATGTTTACCTGCACCGCTCGCATTACTGGATTTCTGCACAGGGGGTGGTGTGACGTGATTGGCAATGGCTGTGGAAGAAGGGGGAGGAATAGGAGGGACTGCAATTTTGCCTCCTGGTGGGGGTGGCAGCAGGCTTAGGCCACCTGATCCAGACGCACGGGGCTTGGCTGCTCCTCCTTTCTTTGTCGTCATGTTCTGTATAAAAAAAAAAAAGGACATGTAAGAAGAGTCTCCATTGGTACATCCAGAGAAAGAAGCAGAGTAAACTGGTCTGCTTACCCCAATGTTTAGTTTGATAGTCTGCCCTTCCTTAAATCCTAAATCTAATTTGGGACGTGTGTCAGCTTCCTGGGACTCCTTGGAGATCTCAGTTTCCTGCTTCACCCACCTAAAAAGAAGAGAGGAAGACATGAAAGCCTGTGGCAAAAGGGAGCAGGTTTTCAGAAAAATGTGTGGTTTCTCTCCCCATCCCACTAAACTACCTTGCCTTGTCAAACCTGCTGCCTCCCTACTCCCACTGTAGTACAGCAAAAAGTTGTGACCACCACAAACCCAAAAAACTATGTAACACTGCACCTGGAGCATCACAGGACCTAAGCTTAAGACTTACAGATCTGACCCTGCTGGCAGCACACTCAAGTGTCCCTTGCTAGAGAAGGGCTTCAGGACCATCCCAGGGAAGCCTGCACTGAATGACCATGCACCACCACCCGCCACGTTCTACAGGCCAGAGGAAAAACAGCATTCCAGAAAAGCACAACTCACTTGAAGTGATCCTGCAAAGAGACGTTGAAGTCAAAGGCATCACCACGATCCGTGAAGCCAATGCCTATAAAAGCACTTCGTCCTAGCAAGGAGATAGGAGGAGTCATTGGAGGTGCCCTGCAAACGGGCCCTTGTATTCAATCGCTCCAAAATCCTTCTGCTTCTCCTAAATCACTCTGTGCTACCTCCCTCCAACACAGCTGCAGCTGGACACCAGCTGCTCACTGTTCCTAGCCTTCAGGATACACCCTTCTTCCCATGGGGCACACTCAGAAACCAAACGTTCCTTCCCAGCCCCTGGGCTCTGTACAATGTAGAGAACCTCCTCTGTTTATCTCAGCTTCTGACTCCTCCAGGCACACTCCCCGGCCTTGCCAGCACTCCCAAAACAGTTCCAATCCACCTGGCAAACACCCAGCTCCACCAGGTTAAGTCTCCTCCACCCCTAGCACTTGGCACATACATTGTCCCTCAACTCACCAGTCCCATCCTGAATTCGAATGACGAAGTAGCGGCTGGAATCTGCCACAGTCTCTACTGCAATGCCAGGGTACTGATCTATGGGAGCCTGGGCAAAGAGTTCTCCTGCAGACAAAGAATCAAGTGTTAAGGAGAGCAACCTCTTGCTAAATGTGGCCAGGGCTGCCACACAGCTCTGAGCAGGCTCACAAGCAGCACAGGCTCACAAGCAGCAATCACAGTTGCAGTCTTGCCAAGGCATAGCCTTTGCCTTACCTGAAACCTTATCCTCCAGTTTTATGTAAGCAGTTTTGCCTTTGGAGGTGACACGAAGCCGTCCTGTCCAGTCTGGATGGTCCAGCTTCCAGTCAGATGCCCTGAAAGGACAAGCAGCTGATCACTGACCATACAGCAACCCTTCTACTTCTGCCCAACCATCTCAGAAGAAGTCTCTGCTCCCAAACTCTCAACACCTGAAACTGCCTCGCTCCACTTCCCTCCCCAAACAACACATTGGGTCTCAGTTCCTCTCTGTTGCTGCCAGTCAACACATGACTTTGACTGGCCTCTCTGGGTAAAGGGAAATAGACACAGTCCAAAGAATATCAACTCTCTACATTTATAAGCCTACAGAAGAGGGGAGAGGGAAGCTCAGAAACTCTCTTGAACAGGAAATCCACAAGTGACTAATAAGTGACTTATGAGCATCAGGAAGACCCCAAAAATTAATTATTAGCATGCTGAAAAGCCACACCGTTATTCTACCCTACAGTTGCAAACTAATGCAAACTACTAAGCCTGTAGGCACCTGGCTTATACCAGATAAAACATCATACGTTCTGACTAGCCCATCAAACTCTTTACCACAGTCTTGTGAAGGAAAAAAAAAAAAGAGAGAAAAAAACCCACCGAGTGAATCATAGAATATTCTGAGTTGGAAGGGACCCACAAGGATCATAGAGTTCAACTCTCAGGACATCCCCAAGAATCACACCATGTGCCTGAAAGCATTGTCCAAACAATAACTGAACTCTGGCAGACTTGGTGCTGCAAAACCTACAGGATTTTACAACTGTAAACAAACATCCGTGACCTGCTACAACATCCACAACACCAACAGTCTGTCAAGTTCAGGGAGTGCACAAATCCCCTTCTCCAGCAGGCCTGCGGTCACAGCTTTTAAAACCGCACGCCACTGCTTTCGGCTAATCAGAGACGGCATTTCTACCTGCTGGTCCTGCAGCCTCTTCTTAAAAATCACGCAGAACTCCTCCCGCCTTCCTCCCGCTGCTGCCAGAGCGAACAGGCCAAAGCCAACGCGCCGCTACAGCACATCAGTCATATCCCCGCTGACCGAGCAAACCCGGAGCGACGGTCCGCTCTGCCCGGAACAGCAAAGTGCTCAGGCGCCCTCACCTCCTGCACCTGATTGACAGAGCAGCCCCCGCTCCTCCACAGCACGGAGCGCACGTGTCTGCTTTCAGGCGCAGACCACCTCCAAGAGGCAATCCGAGGCGGCGGGTCCCCCCGAGCTGCGGCCGGCGGGGGCTCAGGGAACGGGCCAGAACCCGCCGGGGCGCGGGACAGGGCTTCTAGGGCTCGCTCGGGCCTCGGGCTGCCCTGCGGCCAGGGGCTGGGCCGGGCCGCGCGAGCCGCGGGGCGATTCGGGCCCGTCCGCTCGCTGCCTCACATGATCCGGTGGGAGGTGCAGCGGGATGCGGTATACGTTGACATCGGCTTCAGCAGAGACGACTCGTACAACTCGGCCGTGCCATCTGGCACGAACCCGCGAGAAGCAAGCCGGGTAGCCTAATGACTCAGTTTTACTCCCCGCATTCTTTATGAGGGCAGACATCCGCCTGGGGGCGTGCGGGGACGGTAGGGCGGACGCGATGCAACGTCAGAGAGCGGAAGGGGGCCACTTTGATCCTGGCATCGGGGCCCAGGGGCGGGAGGCGCAATCTTGGCCGCTCTGAACACGCAGGCGGCCTGGGCGCCATCTTGAACTGGCAGGGTCGCGCCGGGCTGCGCGGCCATGTTTGCTTGGGGCGCCGTCCCCAGGGATGGCCGGAGGAGCGGGATTGTCGGTGGCGCCACACGGACATCGACCTGCTTGTGTGGGTTCCCCGGGGGCTGCTCCCCTGCAGCCGTGGGCCAGACTTGGGGCTCTGAGTGAACATGGACTTTCTGTGGTGCTGGGGTCGGGTGGCTTTTTGGTAAAACGGCAAACCAAGAGAAAACGTGTCGCAAAACACTACAGGTTTTGCTGGTGGAATTGATGAAAATGCCAGCTACGCAAAGGTCAATTTCAGGAGTGTGGCTTCCCCAAAAATGCGGCGAAAATAAGAGCATAGATACTATTTTATTTATCGATTTAGTTAAGACTAGCAGTGATGCTGACATCTCAAGGGTCAGAAAAATTAACAATTTGCCCAGGAATTTCCAGGAAATGAGGAGGGCGTTGTGAAGCGGAGTACTGCCTAATTGTTGCAAAAATACGGAATATGTAAAAATTCTCTTAAGAAAGGATGTTCTTTGATGTTTGATCTTTGTATACTTTCAAGCCTAATCAACAACAAGAGAGATTTAATCCGTGAAACCCAGAGCAGCTAACAAGCAAGCTCTAAGTGATGTCCAGGTGCTAGAAAGACAAATTACTTGTGACTAGAATTACCTTGTTAGGGCTCGACATGTTTCAATAACCTCAGACCTCAGGGGAAGTTAGCAAAGCTTGGGGGAGAAGGATGTACCACTGGTAGTGGACACAATGCAGAATTTATGGGCCACAAGGACATTTGGCAACACTCCCAAGATAAGGAAGAAACTAATAAAGACAACTCGGCAACTGTGCTGAATCAGCATGCGCAGGAGCCAGTAGGAATACATGGCACCCACACTCAATGCAGATACATGTGTAAGAGGCAGCTCAGCCTCCCTCCTTGCACTGTGCCAGTGTTTAAACTGCTTGTCAGACTGCAGAATTGAGGTGAAGACATCAATGAGAGGTAAACCTTGCAGAAGAACTTAAAGAAAGCCTGTAAAACAGCACAGAATTACACTTCCCTAGTATAGTAGCTTAGCAATCTGTGGTGTAAGGGCTTTGAGGGCCAGGGGTTTAGTGCATTTCTTATAAATATCTTTATAGTCTTCTATGGACTCATCTAATTTTTTTAAAACTTATTTATACTTCTAGTTACCCGTATCATCCCTGGAGTTATGAATCTGATTGTGTAATATGAAAAAATGTAAATTTTTGTTTTCAAATAAGAATTCATGTCTCTCATACTGTCACCTGTCTCTTTTCCTAGGTGAACCATTCTCATCTATTTAGCTTGTCCACCAAAAGAAGCCATTCCCAGCAATGGCTGTCTAGTCATAATTTTCTTCATTATTTTTGATTCTATAATTCTTTTTAAGATCGGGGACTACTACAGCATTCATTGTTCAAGAAGCAATTACATTTACCTTTTGGACTGAGTTGTGTGTTGATAGGATTTTTCAGAGAACATCCTGCAGTGACTGGTAAGTTTTTTCTTTGAGTTCTAATAACTCTACATCTAGAGTTCTAATAACTCTACATCTAATAACTACATCCCTCTGTGTGTATAGTTACAGTTGCTTTTCCAAGTTCAGTGATTCACAATTAGCAATACTAAATTTTACCTACCTCTTTACTGTGCTGTCATTCAGTGTGCTACAGTCCTCCTATGGTCCTTCTAGGATGAGAGAGTGGCAAAGGGCCAGCTGTTGTAAGGTATGTGAGAAAAAATTCGCAAGCAGCACCAGGACTCCAGGACTACACCTCACATCCATTTCCATTGAGTCTTAACCAGCAGAGAACATAACATTCTTTTGCCTGGTTCAAACAGGCATCTCTGGACCAAGAAATTATAAAGCACTGCTGATAAAAGCTAAAGGTTTTAATTTTTTTTACCTTTTTTTTTTTTTTTAAGAATTCAGCAGTGAGGTTGAAATCTTGAAGTAGAACATATTTAAAATCAGACTATGAAAGCAATGAAGAATCCATATTTTTCCCACAGAGAAATTTTCAATGAACAAAAAACAAGGAACAGCAGAAATCTTGGATGGAACTCCACAATGTGCAATCATGTGAGGTGTGCAAGTAGGGTAAAATGCGCTGTTCATGCCAATCTGTAGGTAGCTTCATAATAAACCATGCAAAAGAGTCATTTGGGCTTTTGCTTTGCCCATTTAAGAAAAAATAAGGCATTGCCCAGGAACCTACTTCATTGTACCCAACATTTGGAATTTTCCTTTTCTGCGCAGAAGGTACAGGGGAAACCAGTCTCACAAAACTACTCTTTAGATAACTTAAGAATTATGAGCATTTTTAAAAAACAGACCATATACTATTTCAAATGATGTTTCTTTCACTGAAAAAACTGACCCAAACACTCATCCACCACTGAGACCCTGTTATTGTGAAGGGCTATTTTTTGATTATGTAGGTTTTATGTTGGTACCAGCTTTGCCAGGCTTTGTTCCCTACTTGGTGTCCAAAGCTTGTGCTTACCTGAGCTTACTCAACACTGTAAAGAAATGCCCTGGAGTCATTCAGTGAATTTTTTAAAGAGGGAAATATGGGGAGTACCAGGGCAACCCCGTGGGTACTTCATGTTACTGGAGAGTCCCTAAATGCGCAGTTGTGAGCAGGAAAGCAAGTACTTAGCAAGGCCTGGCCACCAGACGACTGCAGTGTGCCTTCCAGAGATACAGGTGACAGAACTTTGCTCTGTCGTGGTTTCTTTTCCAGACCAAAACCAAAATACTGAGGCTGATTCTTGAATGTCTGGGCTTTGTCATTTCTGCTAGCAGTCTTGATTTGCCAAATTGTGAGGGGCAGTCTCTTGCCCTAGAGATCTTTTGTTCTTATCGTCTTGCCACATTTTGTGCAATCAGCATTTCAGTTAACCACTTCTAACTTTCTGTCAGTCAAGTTCCTTCTTAAAAAATAGAGTTTAAATACCCTGAAATGTAAAAGTCAGATTAAAATCCCTTTGACATGACCAGTCATGGTTTGCTGAATACAATGTTCTAAGATGTCTCAAGATGGGACAGAAGCTGATCTGGATTGATAAGAATCCTAGAAAAATGGGATTAACTAGGTGAATGTGCTGATCTGATAAAACATGGGAGTGGCTACAAGACAACAGGTCAGACATTTGACAGTAACATGGGAGAGTTTGGAATTATGAATTATATCAAATGTCAGTACTATGCCAACAGGCAAGATGTCATTCAGTTGTCTTATGGAAACTCTAGTAAAGTATAGGTCTGTGCACATTATTCCTTTGCTTTCTATTAATGTTTTATTTAGGCTACTATTTTATTTTGACAGTATCAGGATAACTTCTTTTGGTTTGACTGTTTATTTAAAGGGCAGATGATATCTAAAACTTCAAATATGAATCATTCTAAGCCTTTCCATCAGGGCGAAAGAACACACTTGGCACACACATACAGGAAACAACAAGCGGTTCCTAAAATGTCATGTGAGTTTCTTTTTTCAGTAACTCCAGGGACAGGACTGATGGTACTTGCTCCCTGACACACTGAAATAACTTCACTCAGGTAAGTATCATAAGCTGCTTTCCTCTTCTACTTGCAATTTATTATTATTCACTCCTGAAAACCTCTCTCTCTCCTCCAGTTCCCTCTTCCATTTTTGAACAACATTTCAGCCCTTTTAGCACTCTTGAAAACATAGAGTGGGCAGTATCTTTGTATTGATTCATCTCTCCATTTACTTTGGAATAGGACTTGCATTACTGTCTTCACAGCATTCCTTGATTCCCTATCCCCTTCTCACCATTTTCTGCAACTATATGAGGAGGCAACAAGATTCAGCTGTTGCAGCACTGTTCTCCAGCTGTCCCTGTAAAAGTCACTTCTGCATGTATCAGCAAGACCACAGGAAATGGAACAAACTTGCTAGAATTTTAAGTTAAGACTCCAGCTTTAAGTTAAGTCTTCCAGAGACTTCTTTCATAGCTTTTCTTGCAGGTCACCCTCATCTAAAACTTCTTAGCAGTTATTACCAAAAACTGGTAAATTACAATCTAATTTTCTTCCTGGTGAAGCAGTTCTAACACTTATGCATTGCTCCACATTTAGACTATATGTTATGCAAGAAAGAGATGGATGGTTTGAATTAAATTTTTTTAATAATATTGATATTTAGTCTTGCACAAAACAGTCCCTGACTGTCATTTAAGTACTGGCATAACAGAGGTAAAAAGAGGGTCAGTTATGTTATTCATGTCTTCTCAGTTGCTTCTGCAGGCTGTATTCAGCTCTTAACTATGCAGCTTCCTTGCATTTTAGTACCATTTTAGGGACCTTTCAGCAACACAACTTCTTTCATTGATTCAGCAAGGATTTAGTTAACAGGCATTTTATAGACAAATCTATTAATACCTAAAGGATGAAGATCGGGCACTTTTTCTCAGTTCTATCTTGGCTTTGCTAGTTTTCCTTTCCTTTCTAAATTTACTAATATCTAAGTCCAAGAATAATTGAGCAATTAACATTGTTCCTCTACTATTCTCATAGTTTTAACATGTCACTTAAGTATGTGGTAGCTCAGCTTCATTGTCTTGCAATAAGGCACCTCTTAAATCTAAAATGGCTCAAGAACCTTACTGCTATTACTCTGTATTTTCATTTTTATTTCTACAAATAAATCTCTGTTCTTCTTAAGCCATTCATTTCTTGCCTTTCATAGAACCTTAACCATTAATTTCTTACCTTTCTCCTCATCAAGACTAGCTTTCCAAGGAACCAGCAGACGGGTCAGAATACAAGCAAGGGAGAAGGAAGTGGTTACTGAGACTTCCCTAAAATACCCCTTAGCCCTAAAATACCCCTTAGCAACAGAGTTGCTGTCGTCTGTGTTCTATTTATGATGTCCAGAAAGCAGAGCAGGGTTATTTCATAAAGACAAGCACTGCTTTCTTAGCCTAGATGTATTTCACTGGTTATGCCTGAGGAAGTCGCTCGTTTTAAAGGGAACAGGACTTAAAAACCCGGATTTCCCTTTCTGAGAAGTGTAACCAAAGCAGGAAGGCTTTGATTACAATAGGAATTGTAACAATAGGAAACACCTGGGGACAGCATGGCCATATGAACAGAGCACACCACTTTGGAGACTAAAAAGAGCCAGATATCAAAGGGGGTGACAGAGATAAGAGAATGTAAATGCATACAGCTGTTTGAATAGTGGGGCTTATGTAGCTTAGCCACTACGAGAATGATGAAGGTGTACAATGGTCACATTAGTAAGCCTTTAGCACAAACTTGTATAGACCAATGAATGCCTTTGTATCCTCACAGCTCTGTACTGTCACCTGACTTAGGATGCTTCATGAAAAATTAAGAGAAGAATTTGGGGAGGAGAATGTGAATTGCTACTAATTTGCTCTCTGTTTTATAGCTGCAGAATGCCTCAGCTCCTGGGCAATAGCAGTTCAGAGGAACAGGCTGCTGGATATTATGCATCAGTATCAATTGTCTCCATTGCTATCTTCATCATCGTTTTCATCACAGGTATCCCAGGCAATGGATTGGTAATCTGGGTAGCTGGTCTGAAAATGAAAAGGTCTGTGAACACTGTGTGGTTCCTAAACCTTGCTGTGGCTGATATCATGTGCTGCTTGTCCTTGCCATTTTTCATTGTTCACCTGGCCCTCCATGAACACTGGCCGTATGGTTGGTTCCTCTGCAAAGTCATTCCATCAGTCATAATCTTCACCATGTTTGCTAGTGTCTTCCTACTCGTGGCCATCAGCATCGACCGATGCCTCCTTGTCACGAAACCTGTCTGGTGTCAAAACCATCGAACAGTGAAATTTATATCGCTAATATGCAGTGGCATTTGGATCCTGGCCTTCATTTTCTGCTGTCCTGTCTTCTACTACCGTACGACAAGCACTTACGATGGCAAAACTGAGTGTGGGTACAGTTTTGGAGACGATCAGGTGCTAGATTATATAAATGAGTCTGTAAATGAGTCATGGGAAGAATACTCACCTCTAGCCTACAACGATAACGACTTGTTGGGAAATACCTATGACCGTGATTATTCTGTACCCCTTGCCTTAGTGGTAATGAACATCACTAGGGCTGTCTTTGGCTTTGTGCTCCCCTTTGGCATAATGGCAGTTTGCTACGTCCTTATCGTTTTCAGAACTCGCGCAAATCAGTTTAGCAAACCGCACAACAGGATGCTGCGAACAATTGTGCTCGTGGTAGCTGCATTCTTCACCTGCTGGGCTCCATACCATGTAGTTGGGATTCTCTCCCTTGTACCTGGTCTTAGAACAGGACTTACGGAGTCACTGATCCTGTGGGATCACCTTTCTACAGCACTTGCCTATGCCAACAGCTGCATCAACCCCCTGCTCTATGTTTTTGTGGGACGGGACTTCAGGGCAAAGGTACGGCAATCAGTGCAAGGAATCTTGGAAGGTGCCTTTAGTGATGAACTCACATGTTCAACCCTTCACAGAAGCCAGACTTCAGCAGAGAAGAATATTAGCAGCACAGTGTAATGCAGGACTTCCTCTCACCATTGCAGAAAGACCAAGCTATGGCCCTGCACATCAATCACTGTTTAACAGCTGTTTTTGCTCTAACACATTTCATTAGCCTGCAACTCCACACCCAGGACACTGTATGGTTCAGATCATGACAAGTAACCCCTTTACATCCTACTCTAGAGATGGGAAGTTGGAAGTACCAAGAGTGAGGGAAGACTGGTGAAGCAGAAGAGAGTATTTTAACCCTTAAAGAAGAAAGCAGGGCTGCAGAATGTGGTGGGATCATGTAGCTGAACCTCTGAATTGAGATGTTCTTTTATTTCCACATGTCTATGTTCTACATCTCCTGTCTCTGATAAACTGCAGATAAAACTCACTTTGATGTCTCTCCTCAGAATGTGATCACATCTTTCCTCTCCTTTGTCTCTACTTGGGGCCTGAGGTGTGTGGGGGAGTATCTGAAGATTCCCCTAGAGGGTAATGTTGCATTCCTTTACAGCCCTGTGTTAGAGCAGCACTTGCCCCAGGCAGCTGCATTGAACTGACTGGGAAATACATCACTGTAACTCATCCAGTGCACATGCAGTACCTATGTTCATTAACATGTGCACGCTCACTGCCTCCGCAACACTCTCTCCACCACCAGAGTCCCAAATATTCCTTTTAGGAAGTAGTTTGAGATAATCCAAATGTACCTCCTGCATTTCAAGATGGCACACATGCAGAATTTAAATAGCTGTAGTCATGGATGATCCAGATCAGATGACTGCTAGACTATCAGCCATTTGGCAAGACTCTGGAATTGAGAAGTGATAACCTCAAGAAGGTGGGGAATGAGCACACTGGGGCTCAGTCACATCAGGCTCTCTTTACAAGAGGGATGTGCTTCTTGTGTCCTTCTGGCAGAGGAAGATAAAAATTTCATCCAGTCAGGCTATTTGGGGTGTTCCCGAGCTTGAACGTTCCCTGCTCCTGAAAAATGGTAATACATTTACTAGGTACTCTATGGAAGCAGTTTAAAAATCTGCTTTTTGTGTTACTCCTTCCTTAAAAGAGAAAGGTCAACACATGGTATGACAGCCACCAAACACTGGTAGAGTTTTCACTCTGCCTTTCTGGTGAGCACGAGTTGAAAGACTCACAGATCTCAGTGCCTCAAAAACAGTTATCTGGGAGACCTTCCAACTCTTTCTCTCAACATCATAAAAAAGTCTCTGTCTAAAGTACATACAGGTTCATTTAGCCACGTCAACACCGAAATTCCAAGGTAAGTGGGTGGGACCTGAGCCAACCTGATGAGCGCCGCTGGGAAAAAAATCAATACTGGCACCAAAAGAGTTAAACCATAAACATTCACTTTTTCTTTTTATTAAGAAAGCATGCACAAAAATAAACTCGTGAAACCACGCCCCTCTCTCCCTGACCACTGACACGAAGCACAGGGGGGACCACACCGGGCTGGAAGGGCCTGCAGGACCTTCCTCCAGGCCAGGCTGGCCCCCCTCCCCTCCCTGCAGGCCAGTGCTGCCCACCCCACTGATGTCTTCCACGCACTAACAACGCACATTTATTTCAGGGGCAGAGGAACGAGGCTAATTTGCACACTGACCGGCATGTATTTACATATGCAAATGAGGCACAACTTAATATGCAAATATGCAAATGAGGAGCACTTGGATACGCAGAAGGAGCCATCTTGGTTTGTTTTTCTTCCGGTGGTGTTTTCAGACTTCCATAGGGCCGGCTCTCAGTAATGTCCTTTGCAAAGCATTAACTGGCACCTGCTATGAGTTATCTCTGGTGCCACTTCCCACAGAAACCTATCACACATGCTTCCAAGATGTATTATTCCCATCCTGAATCAGCAGAGATAACAGCTGACTCCATGTTGAAGCTGTCTGGGATTCCTCATTTCTCTTGGAAATACTCAATGACGAACTCCCCCCCAAACACACACTTAAAACAAAACAAAAAAAAGAAACCAAAAAAACAAAAAAAAAGAAAAAAGAAAAAAAGAAAAAAAAAAGTGTTGTTCCCCCCTCCAGATACAACAAGACTCTGTCCACTTCCCTGACAAAGATCCAATTTCCAATTGGTTTATCCCTACAGCAATTTGAAAAAGCAATGGCAGTTCCCCACCTTCCTGCAGTCATAGTAGAGGTTATTACTTTACTGCCCTGCCCCATGTCAAGTGGCCATGATGGTCTATTTCCATGTTTGTTCCCTTCACTGATAAACAGGGAATTAGGGATGGGGGGAGGCTTTACAAAATATTAAGAGAAAGCAAGAGGTTTGACAGAACAGAGCCATACCAGAAAAAAAGGGGAACACAGGACATAGCTTTGGGGAGGAGGCATCTCAACACTCACTCCTGCTCCTGCACCTTTTCCACCTTCCTGATTTGCAAGTGCTGACAAAACTCATCCTTCAGGATTTACACCAGATGCTGTCATCTCTCCAGCCGAACTGAAAGGGGTCTGACCCACCCACCTCCCTTTTATACTACACTCTTCAGCTGTTCGGTTTCAAAGCCTGCCCTGCTTCATCCTCTCTCCTCTAATGCCCGTCTTACAAAAACTGCTCGTGAGGGCCTCCCGGTACCTGACCAGAGGGTCCAGCCCTTGACCAGCAGCCCCTCAAGTTTCCCCCCCCAGTCTGTGCAGCAGCTTCATCTGCCCACCACGAGCCCGTTCACCAAGTGGGAACCTCTGACAGAGGACATGCACGTACGCAACAAGGCTCCTGCTGCTGGCACTCAAAACACAGGCAAAGACAGTCTCCAAAGAAATCTGAGGGGCAAAGGGCCAAATAACAATTGGACAAATACTGATGGGAGAAAATTTCCAAATTTGCATATGCAAGTAAGAGCCTCACTACATGTTTTGAAGAAGAGCTTGAAGGGATAGGGGGTGAAATTAAAAGCTCTGGGGAACAGAATTTTCTGAATCACATGTGAGACCCCTGACTGCTTCTTTTATCTGATGGGTATTTAAGCTTCACCTGGAGACTGCAAAAAGCAGTGTAGGAAATGGTCAGGATTCCCTTTAAAATCTCTCTGTCTTCACAGATGGCACCACATTGTGAAACCCAACTTCACTGCTGAAATACCATCTCTGCCCCGTTCTCCTTTCTCCAAACTCAGGTCTGCCCTCCCAGCTCAGCTTAGCTCTCCCTGCCTCAGGGATTACCTTCTCTTTGTACTTGGGAACACCACTTCTTTTCTTGCTGTTCCTGCTGGTGTGACAAAGTTCACAGAGCTAAGATCACCCCTCCAGTGTCCCTTCAGCCCCCTGACCTTTACAACATTTACGAAACAACATAACTACAGGCTCCCAGGGTCCACTAGGCTCTCTCACTCCAGTAGCCAATACAACAGATTCACCGGCCACCTTGAAGGGAAAGAGGGATTGTTAAACGCAAAATGACGGAGGCAGAGAAAGATGCACTCGAGGATTCAGCCTTCCAAGGTCTTTTCATGGCACCAAGGACCCATCTTTCTGCCCTCCATAGGGCACTACACAACATGAAAGCTGATCCGATGCGTCCGAGGCCACCAGAGGGGGGGGAGGGCTGTGCTCAATTATTGGTAATAATAATAATAACAATAATAATAATAAACAAAAGAAGAAAAGAAGATAAAACAGGACGCAAGGAAGGATTATCTTCGGCAGCATCTTGCGGTGGCTTCTCTGGCGGAGATAGAGAATATATATCTATATACAGGCAAGGCAGGGAGGCTGGGGAGGGCGGTGCTGACACCATTGACCCCATGTCTCCCTCCCCTCCCACGTCCCTCACAAAGGACGGCCTATCAAGTCTGTAACTCGCTAGGTGATCAAGTCCCAGTCGAAATCATCGGGGATTTCCTCATTGGCGCCTGGAGGAGGTCCTGGAGGCCGGGGGACCAGATGATGAGCTGAGCCAAAAACAAGAAAAAAAAAAAAGGAAAGAGAACAGTTAGAATAAAGAACTACATGCTTTTTCACAGGGGGCTCTTGGGCAAAAGAAACTCAAAGTGGTTTGGGCCTTCTCCCTTCCAATAGTCTAACAAACAAGAACACTACTGGCATCAATTTCTCTGTCACACAGCACCTACCAATGTCTGTAGGTGGTCTACTGTGAAATTCTCCACAGCATCTTCTACAGAAGTTAAGTTTCAGCCTCCTTTACTTTTCTCACAGTTGACTGCTGACAGAGCACAAAGGACTTCATCAACAGAAGCTTCTCATGTAAAGTTGCCTTCAAGCAACCAACTGAGGATGAGGCTGAACTGGGAGACTGTCTATGTGAAGTGAAAGAAATCAGGCCACTGACACCTTAAACCTTTCCAAAGCTATGGCAAAACCCTAAACAGAGGTTTTTTTGCAGTCCAGCCTCCCTCTCTACCTGCAGTTCTCCATTTGATTACTAAATGCTTTGGGAGAAACACACAAAGGGGTTGGAAACCAATTCTTTAATGCTCATTGCTATGATATGCCTTAATGTCACTCCTTACCTGGGCGATTATATCCTGGAGAGTCCTGGGTGGAAATCTGGTACATAGGAGATGGCCCGGAGAAGAGATGGGGAGGCTGGGGCTGACCATAGGAGTTCACTGTGAAAGGAAATGAGGTAAAAAACAAAACAAAACAAAACCAACTGTTAAGGTTCTGGTCAACAGTCTTGACCCTGACTGGGTGGCAGCTCAGCCACAGAGCAACTCACTCAGACCCACGGGATACTGAGGAGATGTTCAGCTGTTGGGTCCTAACTGCAAGCTATAGCTTGGTCTGGGATCTTGTTCTTGGAACCAGCAGGAGTTTCTCTATTATTGTAAAAGAAGAACATTTTCATCCAGAAACACCACAAGCTGGCTCAATATTATCCACTTAGTTCAGTACTAGATGACACACACCACCACAGTTCTATCAAGACCACAATATCCCCTATGCTCTCCTCAGAGTGCATCCTCCTACTCCTTGTTCAGTCAGTATTTCTCCAACATGGGTGCAAGTGCTTTCTCCTTTACAGCTCATGCCATCTGGAATAGCAATCTCTCTACTGGCCATTTCTTTCTGATGGTTACTTAAAAAAATACCACTCCCTTCTCCTTTTTATGGGTTTACCTTTTAAATATATTTCTGCCTGGATAGGTTGCCTGTCAACGGTATGCGTCAAATAATAGCAGTCAGGCCAGGCCACAGGCATAGGACAACCCAATTCCTTAAAGCCAGAGAAATCTGAGTTGCTATGAACACCTCTGACAGCCTAGCTCTGAGTTGCTCAGTGCTATATTACCTGGCAAGACTGTAAGTAATTTAGGATATTCACAGAATTGGGCCTTCATTTACCTATCATTTTAGTCTCTGCCTAATTACCTTGGTTCATGGATTGCTCCTGTTTGCCACTGTTCAG